TGTAACTGATTATATTGAACCCAAAGTTTTCTCTGTTTACATACTGCTCATAACTATAAGGTTCAATTTCATTGATTAAAATTATAGAAATTCTTCCTCATTTAATTCAATCACCTGGAGGAAAAACATTTAGAAGTTAATATAAAAATTCAAATTGAACTATGTATAATTATATAATCTGTATAATACATGGCTGAAAAAACAAAGTCTAGTGGTTTGCCTTATTTAAGCTTATATGATCATGTGGAGGCATTATAACATCCAGAATGAATACTGCTATTTGATAGTGTTTTACTATTTCCTTGTTTTACTGGTGTCTTTTCTTTGTGTAGCTCACACCATTTAACACAACAGTTAAGCAATGTCGGTTTCCAAAATAAACTGGTGATTTCTGTATTTAGTGTTGGCTGATACCAAACGAATTCCAATAGCCATAGTAAAATTTTGCTTGCAAACACTCTGCTTTTGCATTGTAGATCATCACTCCTTTTTTTTCTTGGCTGACAATGAGCTTGGCTTGTCCCTTTCCTTCGCCAAGCTGCTTGATAAATCCACCACAGTCCATAAATTTGTCAAACAAATGACATAGTCTTCTCAGACTGAAAAAAGTAATTGTTACAGAACCTGGCTTCTCTTCTACCTCTAAACCATACCTTGTTGGACCAAGAACGTCCTTATGTAAAATGTTAAAAACCTCCTGTGCCATAGGGAGATCAAAAATGACCATCCACGGGTGCACTCTACTCATCCTTGGTGATGGCACATTTCGCCCGAATCATGCAACGCTGTAGCATTGGATACAGTTCGCCAAGTTTATATTTAGGTCGCTCTCGAATTGCTCCAAAGTTTCCTTTCACAGCTAATTCAGCAACCTTGTTTAGCCGGTTGAATGTGATATCTAGATCCCTCGATTTATGCCCATTCGAAATTCTTCGCTCAAATTCTGACTTGCTATGCTTAAGGGCTTCTTTTATTGAAAATATTAGTTCCTCTTCGGTGGGTTCAGAGCTATCCGCCATCTTGGATTTTGGAAAACTTTACCCCAGGTCACGCGCGGCCAAATTGAAAGTTGGCCCAATTTCGAGCAATAATTTCCAAGCGTGCTTCCCGCGTGCATCCTTAACTCGCCATACGCACGCTAAGCATGGACTAATTCTTTATCAACTACTTCTAAGTTAAATTGATAACAGTAACTAACGAAGTAAGAATATGATAAAAAGCGGAAAATCAAAGCTTAAGTAGTTAAAATGTAAATTAAGATGCTTTGATGATTATTTTGTGAACCAGTCAGAAGCCCTTTCAAAGATTTAGGTCTGATGCAATAGTGTCTGTTCAATCCAGAGTCGAGGCTCAGTTACCTTTACTTTCTATTGTAATATACAGAGCAACTTGCATGCTGCATTGTCACTGATAAGGTTTCAAATAAAGTTACACTTGATTGGTTAGGAATGTGGCGCGAGCTGTCTTAATCACAGAGTCTAGGTAAAAACCAATGCATTTCTGAATTACTTCCGCCACACAATCTAAAGCTGAAGTCCAATAAAATTAACTACCGGTGGAAGCTCAATGATGACAAACCTATCTTTACTTAAACCTGTAAAGACAGAAAAGTAGTAAATGACAATTGATTTAAACGACAAAAGTAATTTGGTTTGTGTCTCTATTTCTCCTCAACTCACCAATGATACACTTTTCATCAAAGAAGATTTTTCCCCAGAGGAGCTCAGTGATTTTTTTTTACAAAAGGCAACAACAAAAGCATGGTTATATTCTTTGCCTTATCGTTTGCATAAATCACATGAATTGTGTTACCCACCAACATGAGGAAAAAACGAAAACAAAACAAAATCAAAGCTCCCTTTAACAAGATGTAGGCCCGACCTGATATCGTATGACGAAGCTTAGTGTGATTTAAAAATACAACTAATATCATCAAAGAAAAGAAATCCAAGATTTCAAGAACCATCCGAACAATGACTAATCTATCAACTCTGTGTGCAATTTGGATAATTGTTGAGACACCAGTCAAAAAAAAGATTAGAAAAAATAAAAGCAGGGTCCAAAAATTTGGCAGACGACACAGATCTTTAAGAACTGTTGAGAAACCGACGAATGATGGGGATCTTACAATGATTATCAGGAAGAAGCAACAATTCACAATTTCTGTTACATTCAAGGAAATAATCACTTTCGTTTCCACGAGGAATTCTTCTAAGTCTTCTTGAGGGGTATTAGTGGAGTTTCTGCCAAAATATTTCACGAGAGCAAGTTTTACGATTATTATAAGCAAAACCGCTTCAGCCAAAAAAAAACAATAAAAAAAGGCGAAGAAAGAAATGGCGACAGTTGAATTGTTCACAGAGTCTGTGTTGGCGACTTTTTGAATTGGCCTCGCCCACTAGCGGTGTGTTCTCATCGGCAGGGAAGCTGTTTGCTGTGTATTCAGAATTTTCCGAGCTGTGACCTGCATCTGTTGGCATGTTTGCTTGAAAAGAAACAACACAAAGTAAATATATAATAAATAAATATATATATATATATATATATATATATATATATATATTGTCATTATATATCTTTGTCCTGAGACAAAACCACAATCATAGGAGGGAGAAGAAGTGAGGTAAAGGAACTGATCTGAGTTCTGAAACACGACGTTCCATGTAAACACAACAGAAAATTGGTCATGCGCTTTCATGGTCACCAGAATGATAGGTGGGCGTCCATTTTATCTCTCAGGGATATTCTCATGATCCAGCATCTGCATGTAGTTTGGAAAAGGGCAGGCAAGAAAGCCTTGTGCGGAGACGTCACGGCTCATATGAGAAGTAGATTGATTAAAGAATATTAGTACAGATGGAGTCGATTCTCAAACGCTGCGTACAAAGCTGTTTGTAACTCAAAAGTGCACAGAAGATCTATGAACTGATGAAAATGTTAGGATACTACAAACTTGGAGAAAACATTACCACTATAAAACAAAATTGGAGAAAAAACACCACTTAGCAGTCCTTGAATGAAAAATGTCCTTTCAACTATTGACACGTCTTCTGTGAAGCGATTCCTGTACAATATTAAAAATATATAACTTTGAAGTCAAGCTAAAGAAACCCAAGGATCCATAACGATAGCCTTATGATAGCCTTATGAAAGCCTTTCGTTCTTAAAACGCGTCAACGGAATCATTTGAAAAATGCATCGAGCATAATGCGGGCTTAAGGACTAAACTTCTCAAAAATTCCCTTGATATAACATTTCAAGGAGAGATAAATTCTGAACAATTTCAACGGTGAGCCTCCTTCTTTTGCTTTCACTTAAGGAATTTGATCCAGTAAAATATTTTATGCTTTTTCCCCCTATCCAGCTTGCTAAGTAACCAAAATACTGGGCTGCATCTCCCGGGCTCGTTTACTGGGCACATAAAAATCACACAAACACATTGATCTGGAGTAAAAATGGCTGAGGGCAAAGGCCCAAAGCCGGTTTAATCAGTAATCAAAACTGAATCAATTATTACCCAAAATATTTGAATCTGGGAAAAATAGCTTGCCCAGTAAAGGTGAGGGCTGAAAAACAACGCCAACAAAATCAACTATTAACTTGAGCTAAAACAAAGACATGTGGCCGGAATAAGGGGAGAAGGTGGGGTACAAACAAACGTGTCACTTGCGAAGAAATCTGAAGTGAATGACTCTGTGAATTCTGTCACGAGTATTAGACTCCACAAAAGGTGGGGGGTCAATACATTGCAATACTCGCACCCCTTAACCAGGCCTGTCACGCATCTTGCATTGTCATGCGACGCTCTCTACCCGTGACTAACATATATCAGCAATTATCACAATAATAGAACATTAATAATCGGGGAAAAAAAAGCATAAAAATCCTATTCGCGAGCAAATATTTTCTTTATGCTTTTTCCCCCTATCCAGCTTGCTAAGTAACTAAAATACTGGGCTGCATCTCCCGGGCTCGTTTACTGGGCACATAAAAATCACACAAACACATTGATCTGGAGTAAAAATGGCTGAGGGCAAAGGCCCAAAGCCGGTTTAATCAGTAATCAAAACTGAATCAATTATTACCCAAAATATTTGAATCTGGGAAAATAGCTTGCCCAGTAAAGGTGAGGGCTGAAAAACAACACCAAAGCAGCATGACGCCGGTCATGCTGCCGCCCCACCCAAGGGAAATGCAGCCCACGAATTACATGGCAACACATATAGTTATAAAAGACTAGAGAATGTGAACTGCTGCCCTTGCAAATCAGTTCAAGGTGCTATTTAAAGACAAGAAAACAAACGAAAATTACATACAATTTAGGGAGATGAGGTACTGCTGCCCTTGCTAATCAGCACCTCATATCCTTTCTGAAATGCAAGTACAGAAAAAAGGAGGTGGGACTGCTGCCCTTGCTAATCAGTCCCATTCATTTCTGTTAACCCTTGCATAAAGAGGTATAATAAATTATTGAAGAAACAAATAATCATGACATCCTCATTCATTGTTCTTGGGGAATCTAGGTCTAGGTGGATAAAGTCAATTCATCAGAAACTCCTTCGAAAATGAAAACTACAAACAATCCTGACTGAAACGGTCACATTAATCTCAAACGCTACCCAGTAGACCATGACAGATTTCAATACATTGCAATACTCGCACCCCTTAACCAGGCCTGTCACGCATCTTGCATTGTCATGCAACGCTCTCTACCCGTGACTAACATATATCAGCAATTATCACAATAATAGAACATTAATAATCGGGGGAAAAAAGCATAAAAATCCTATTCGCGAGCAAATATTTTTTGTGTTCTGAAATTCGTTAGGAATGGTGGTAGGGATTTTGGTGGTAGTAATGGGGGAGGGTAGGTTGTGGGTCTCTTAAAAGCTGTTATTACGTTGAGCAAATTTCGAGTATATATAATTTATCTGACCAATCTAAAGAGACTGCAGTGAAAGCGTCACAAACCAAAAATTTCACGCCATGTTACTAATTTTGTTAATCTCTCCAATCGCATCCACCCGTGTAAGCCTGTCATTTATTTAAACAAGGTATAACATCCAAAATTCGGTGGACAAAATGACTTGTTTGTGTTCGTGGTAAGTGGATTTCTATAGAGCAGGTTGCGCCTCAAACACGATCGCATTTAATCGCATAAAGAAGATTATCTTAACGTAACGCCATGTTACTAATTTTGTTCATCTCTCCAATCTTCCTTAGCATGAAGCGGCTAGGAGTATTGCTACTCCCCCCTGGATGGGATGCTAGTCCATTGCAGGATTACCCCCAACATATTTGCTGGTACCCATTTGTACACCTGGGTGAAGAGAAGCACTGTGAGAGTAAAGTGACTTGCCTAAGAACACAACACAATGACCCCGGCCTGGGCTCGAACCCGGACCACTAAGCTAACTTGATTAATTGATAAATTGAGCTAACTTGATCCTCTTGTTCTCTTCTACCTATTAACTTTTGCTGAATAGTTTAGAGAGTTTTTCCCTTCTACAAAAAAAATTTTCAATATGCGATGTAAAGATTCATCCAAACGGTGACCATTTGCTATCTCAACTTTTCATTCAGTTATCGTGAAACTCGGTGGAAGGTTAATTCTTACGTGAAATTGAAAGACGATTATTTAAATATTGGCATTAATATTTGCATTCTGGGATATATTAAGTTGAAAAAAAGTCTATGACTTAATAGGAATTTTCGAGCACAAGGAATTTCAGTTTCGAGCTTGCGTTTTGTCGTTTCTGAGGTTCTCTTCCATGTTCAAGGCTTTTTTAAAATGCGAACATTTTTCAGCCTGGCCATCAGGATTTCGGCTTTTGCGACCGACGACATTTCGATAATTAGGTATAACTGCCGTCTCACATGAACAGATCTCAAAATTTTACCAAAATTTGGAGATCAACACTCCATCTACTTAGGTTTTTTAAGGTGGCTTAATTGAAGCGTACTAAAGAATCTTTGAAAAATTTCCATCGTTATATTTAGTAAGCCGTTGCGGTGTGCGCAAAGAAAGCCCTCGACGGCGGAAGTATTAAACTTTACTAAGCGCCCAGGAGAAAAAGTACTTACCAT